ATTTGGATGATTTTGAATATTCACTTGAAAAGTTATCAAAGAAAAACATTTTTCATTTTGTAACTTCGAGGGCCCGTTACTTGGTAACGAAGGATTTTAGGAAAAAAAGTTATATGAAGTACTGGTGATATTTTGACCCCATCTATACATTCCCGAGAGGAAAAGAGGAAGTCCAGGGACACCCATAGGTGTGAGCCACAATAAACCCTTGCGGGTTGCGTCGGAGGGTCGAATAGACTCACTCACTTTGGACCTACCCTAATCTGACCATTTGTCGTGAAGTAAGGGTGAATATTCAGTTTCGAGGCAAGCCTGAGGCTTGTATTGATTTTTATGTAACATCTAGAGGGCGTACGCTGTCATTTTTCATTTCAAATTGCCCCAACTTTTTTGAGAGTGAACTTCTGGTACTTTTCATGAATAAACCTATTCTGCACACCCTTTTGAGGTGAAAATGATACACTTCCTCAACCGCGCTAAAGGTAATCGTTTACGGTATATTTACGATTTTCTATATAGATGCATATTACTTAGCTCCTAGGGCGCTAAGTGAAGTTGCTTAGAATAATCCAAAAATTAAGTATGTAGTGGAAATCTTGAAAATAAACAACTTTTCCCCATGAAATGTTTGATGAAAATAACTGAAATTGCAAAAAACTGATGAGAAATACCAACCACCTTCAGCGTTGTTGAGGAAGTGTAACTGTTTTACTTGGGAGGTGTGGAAATTGGGGTTTTTCATGAAAAGTACTGAAAGTTCACTGTCAAAAAAGTTAGGGCAAGTTGAAATAAATAATGAAGCGTACGCAGCGCTGTTTTGATGTTGCATGAAAGTGAATACGAAATTATGATTTTGCACGTCAAAAAAATTTGGGTACTGAAAAACTAACGAAACAATCAATCTCAACACCCTGTATCTCCGAAACAAAGCATTTCCAGACACAAGTTTATATAGACTTTTTTTCTCAGAATTGTCCCAGGAATACGTCAATAGAATATTTCAACGTACTCATGTTACATCCTGTATATTATTACGGCTTTCTCGAAAGGAAAGTATACCGGGTCTTTATGCGAACAAGACATATTTATTAATGATAATAAATTTAATGAAAATGATGAGGAAAATGATAAAAATGATCATGAATGACGGAAAACAAAAAATAATTGAGAAGTGCGAGTCTCTAACATGGAACAAATTCACTAAATCAAAGGTGTTGTTTCTTTCGGAAATATGTTCCGACACGTCGATTAGTATTTCAAAGTGCCCCTATTTTCATGCAAAAAAAATTATACAGTGTGTTTCAAATATGAGATATGACTTCATCGATAATTTTTTGAATGACAACCCTGTTTTTTTAATAACTTTTTTTATTAAAGGGTTCAACAAGTTGCACATGTCTACCAAATTTCAATTTTTTACTCCTTGTCCTTCAAAAGATATTTAACAAACATTATCTAATTCAAAAAATTAATTCAATTCAATAGTCTTCCTTCAATAAATATTCAGAATGTCAGGGATACCTGACAGTGACATTGTCATAAAAAAGTTATCAAAAAACAGTAAGAAGAGTAGTATCGCATTCCAATCATATTTGTGCACAAAAAGTGTTAGTCGTTTCACAGTTTGTTGTTCGCCATTAGTAAAATGCCGTGCTTAAAACGACGTTTCGATTGTTAGTATCCACGATCGTCTTCGGGTGATAACTATTGAATTGAATTCATTTTTTGAATAAGATAATGTTTGTTGAATATATTTTAAAGGACAAGGAGTAAAAAATTGAAATTTGACAGGCATGTGCAATTTGTTGAACCCTTTAATAAAAGTCAATAAAAAATAGGGTTGTCATTAAAAAAAATTCTCGATGACGTCATATCTCATATTTGAGACACACTGTATAATTTTTTTTGCATTGAAATAAAGGCAATTTAAAATAATAATCGACATGTCCAAGCATATTTCCGAAAGAAACAACACCTTTGATTTAGTGAATTTGTTCCATGTTAGAGACTCGCACTGTATAATGAATAAAACTTTAGAGATTAACGCGGGGTATTAACAAAAACTACTTCATGAATGTTTATCATTATACATTCTTCAATCCGTTAATTGAAGTCCTCTGGGGTAGTTAGAGTGAACGAAAGAACAAAGGTATTAAAATTATAAAATAATATACAATGGGAACTTTCCTCTGTAGTTCTTTTGAAGTCAATTCATGAGTGATTCAATGCACAAATTGTTGAATTAGAGAAATCTTATATAGGGACATTATTATCAATTATCTGCAAATGAAGTTTAGTACCTTCTTCAATCTCGGCATCCAAGTGTTTTCCGGAAAGTTCTTTCTTGAATTCGATGAATTTTTTCGAAATCAACTGAAATGGAAGTTAATATCAGAAAACAGATTGAAAACTAAGAAATTCAGCTTACTGGATGCAAAAGGTCATATAATTTTGAATAAATTCCATCGAAGATCTTCTTATTAGGTGAATAATACCAAACGAAATCTAAATGGTTCCAAACTCTGAACATTCTGTAACTCATAATTTCGAAAGCCCTGAAAATAACCCAACTTGAAATACCCAATCGCAATAATACATATTTGTGTTATTTCAAAATTTTAAAAAAATTGAAAACCTCATTGTTTTGCATGGATTTTGTTTTCAAGTTCAGATATCAAAATCCAGATATCGATGAAATAATGATCTACTCATATTTGGTACACCACTCAAAATTTTTCAGAAAACTGTTTTTTTAGTATGATCTGATAATCTCCCAGAAATCAAAGGCTTATTTGAAAAAGTTTAGATGAAATGAATATAGTTTAAAAAGACTAATAAACACGTTTTTATAGCATACAAAACTGAAGAATAAAAAATAAATGAGGTTTAAAAAAAACTAAAAAACACGCTTTTAAGAAACATTGAACTGAAAAGTTAAGANATAGATCAAGCAGTAATGTCGATCCCGATCATTCAAACAGGAAAGAAGAGTAACAAACAAAATACATACATACAGATGAAGCAAATATAAAGCGTGTTATTATTGTTGATAAAAAATACTTTTTTCAAATGAAGAAATACATGGGAAGTGAGTTCGAATTATATCAAAGAGGTTACGTACAGCGCCATCTGCCCGCGAATAGATCAAGCAATAATGTAGATCCCGATCATTCAAACGGGAAAGAAGAGTAACAAACAAAATACATACATACAGGTGAAGCAAATATAAAGCGTGTTAATTATTGTTAATAAAAATAATTTTTTCATATGAAGAAATAAATGTTGAGTGAGTTCGATTTACATCAAGGAGGTTAAGTACAGCGCCATCTGCCTGCGAATAGATCAGGTAATGTTGCCGATGATTCTGTCAAATACAGATTCCGATATGAAATGAAGAGGAGACTTACAAACATACATACATACATACAGGTGAAGCTAATATCAAGCGTGTGGAAATGAAGAATATTTCATAAATCTAGAACTACTCCATATTCTTCTTTTATTGAAACTCAATTCCTTTCTACTATTATACTGATAAATACATGAATTCGTCTACCTCTCAAATAATATTCCCTGATCGCCACGATTTTTTTGAGTTTCAACATTTATGCCCATCGATGTTTCTGAAAAAAAAACATGTTACTTTATTTCATGCATGCAAAATAAACTAAGTTTTTTTATGAAATGATTATTCATATTGACAGATTGAGCTATTCATTCAACGAGTGGAAAAGACAATACAGTAATATCAATATTACGAACAGAAAAGAGTCGCAAGGGGCCAAATCTGATGAATACAGTGGCTGAGACATGATTACGGTGTTGTTCTAGATAAAAAAAAAATACGAACAACCAATGATGAGTGAGTAAATTCATTATCGTGAGTCCAAAGCCATAAATTGTTTTTTCACAACACCGGATGCACTACGCCACGATAATCGTAGAGAACAGTGAGCAAAACCTTGACATTTCATCAAATTCGGCGCGTTTTTTTTGTCTTGATTCTCCTGGGACCTTCTATTGGGTCAACTGGACTTATGTTTCGATGTTATAACTATACATCCATGATTCGCCAAATAAGGCATTTCGTAGTTGACAGTTGGAAGCATAAAGTCAGAGGTCATTTCCAGAATGCTGTGACTTCCAGTGTCAACCAACAGACTGTTGCACTGTGCATTAAATTGATTTGTGCAATTGGCAATGTCCCCAATTCTATATGCAGTCCATCAAGCCTCTCTCTCCCGGAAAATGTGGAGTGGAGGTAGATCTAGAAGGATCTCCATGACCGATAACGGTGTGGTACTGATGGCACCACTGATGGCCAGACAAGCCTGTCTCTGTAAGCCAGAGTGCTCCATCTGGGTCGTTTTCTATGGAGCCTTCGGCCACCAGGTCACCAGTTATGACTCCTTCAAGCAAATCTGGATCGCTGTTGACATTATTCAACTTTTCCTGAGTGATGCTCATTCGACGGTGTTTTTGGTCGAAATTCAGCAATTTTGGAACGAACTCCGCTGCCACCCGCTTTATGCCTGAGTTTTTTGAAAAACTTGCATGGCAATGATATGCCGACATCTTGAGCAACATCTCTAATAGTGATTTGACGTTTCTAAATAACAATTTCCTTTGGTTGTGATGCGGCGTCCCTAGCGTCGTCAATCTTTGAAAAGCTATCACTTGTGAACATTTGTTTCGACTCACAGTACAATCACTGTATGCCCCTGTTAACATTTCAAGTGGTTTTGAGCACTCGATTTCATTTTTGACAAAAAATTTGATGCAGAAAATCGTCGAACAAACAAAACACTTGTAACTTCCATGTCTTTTATCAACAAATCAAATATGATAAACAGCTGATACTGTAACATATGTTGAAGACGAGTGTACCAATATAAAGAATATACAGGGTGGGGCACCGAAAACGAAACTGGTCGTATATCTTCAAAATACATGTGTTCTGAAAAAAATGCAAAAACACGTCGATTTGTAATCTAAAGGGGGCATCTTCCTATCATAACCTCAACTGTCATACCTCTTTCCCCACCCCTCGGTGACTATCACTCAAACAATTTGAATAGGGAAAGTAGTAAGTGTGGCATATCGTTATAAAGGTAATTCCATAGGAAATTCAGCCATGTCAATTTTGGCTACCTTACTTTCGATTTTGGCGCCTTTTTGTGAGGAAAAAAACTGTTCCGTATTCCAAATTATGATACTTCATTCACAAGTATTCGACATGAATTCGGTGACAATGTATTATGGAGTTTTTCTAGGGGAAAAACAAGATGCAATTATGGTCCGATTTGATTCAAAGTTGATGAGTGGTGGTTTTCAGGGTCGGAAATTATGAATTGTTCTTTAATGCAAAAAATCAAGATGGTTGCTCCAAAATGGCGAAAAAAATTTGTAATTATAGTTTGATATAACCTGACACCGAAAACGAGTTCTTCAAAACACATGTGTTGTGAATATAATGCAGAAACACATCAATTTTAAATCCAAATCTTATCATTACCTCAACTGTCATACTTCTCTACCCAACCCTTGTCTCAATTCCTTATGGAATGACCTTTTCAATGCTGTGTCACACGTAATACTTTCCCTAATCAAATTTTATGAGTGACCAAGGGGTGGGGAGAGAAGTATGACAGGTGAGGTACCGATAGTATTTGTCCCCCTTTGGATTTAAAATTGACGTGTTTTTTCATTATGTTCACAACACATGTGTTTTGAAGAATTCTTTTCCGGTGTCGGGTTAAATCGAACTATGATTACAAATTTCGTCCGCCATTTTGGAGCAATCATCTTGATTTTTTGCATTGAAGAACAATTCATAATTTCCGACCCTGAAAACTACCACTCATCAACTTTGAACCAAATCGGACCATAATTGCAAATCTTTTTCGCCATTGTGAATCCGCCATCTTGTTTTTCCCCAGGGGGACTGTCAAACACCCATAAGAGAGAGACAGTGATCCCCCGCCACTCACCGCCACTCACAAAACACATGTGTTTTGAAGATATTCGATCTGTTTCGTTTTCGGTGCCCCACCCTGTATAATGTGGAATGGGAAAAAATACTAGCTTGGTCCAAACAGAACTGACTGGTATCTCAATCGCTACAAAAGAAGTAACCAGGAGAGGAATTTCTGGCAGAAACATAAAATCTGCACTGACAGCAGACAAGCTCTATTAGCCTTGAACAGACAACGTGTTACCTCAGACCTAGTACTAGAGTGCCACCAAGATTTAGCCACAGCCTCTGAAGATAATAACGTTATCCTGAGGTTTGTTGAAGAGCACGACAGGAGTAAAGGTAATCGCATTGTCGACTCTTCAGCCAAGGAAGCGGCTGGACTAAAAATTTTAGGACCCAGTGGCACCTACGGCCTGATGACTTCAACAATTGCGAAACTAGCCAAACGTTACACCTATGCTCAATTCCTAAAGAGATGGGATGAAATCAAAGGATGCAGTCTTGCCAGAATCACCCTGGGCGTCCCTGGGAAGCTGGCGCCGAAGAATTATCTAGCGATGACCAGGAAAATCTACGCTTAACAGTAGGATTTCTGACTGGCCACTGTCAACTAAGGAAATACCTCCATAATATGGGGCTAGTGGCACACCTCTATGTGTACAGGAAGATGAGACTGTCAGGCATGTTCTATGCGAGTGCCCGGATTTATCGTCAATAGGAAAGTGTGTGTTCGGTGAGTCTTGGTCTTCACCTGCCGATATGAAGGAGATGCCCAGTGACCTGTTCACCTTCCTGGAAAGGACAGGATGGACGATGACCTGAGAGGACAACTCCTCGGGAGTATTTTTCAATGGGTCACATATGGCTTAGGTGCTGTGGGTTTACACTCACCTACAGATACAGATAAAGAATATATAAAGAAAATAATCGCTAATATTATGTACGTAGCTTGCGAAATTTAAACATTCACCCTACTTTTCGATCATACCTCGTATGTTCTAAAATAACGCTGGGTAATTTATATTGGCCACGAAAATTCTACGACTCTGGCATTTCCACAACAATAATATCACAAAACACTTACTACAAATTAAATCGAAGGTACATCTGATCGTCCATGCGTATAGATCGAAATTTTTTTTACCGACCACAGCTTGTAGTTCTTTGGCAAAATTCACACTATACTCCGTAAAAATTCCAACAGCCGTATTCAGCACTCTGTGATTGAACGATGGAGCCAGTAATTTTCTGTGGCGCTTCCATACGTTTACTGAAAAAATTGTAATGTAATAGATGAAAATTAGTCACGAAGAAGTGAGAGCTTGGCAAACTGCATCTACTGATACAATATCACCTTTGTTGTTATAGGTACTCGTATGTGGGGATGCAGCAAAAATTAATTCATAAAATATTTTCAAATGATATAATTTTTTCAAATAGTATTACACAGTGCATTTCGTTAATGTCCTCGTCTTTTCATTTTTTGAACCAGTCGAATAAGAAAATTGAAATTTGGGATAATGGAATTGACAGATGAAACTTTCAAGATGGCGACTGCGCGATATGGTAGTCACCGCGAAAAACGAAAAACTGATGAGCATAGCAAACACAGAAATACAAAGAGTAGCAAACTGGATGCAAGAGAACTTGCTAAGATTAGCCTCCCAGAAGCGGTATTATTGACAACGAAAAGGAAAATATCACCCATCTACCTGAACTTTGAAAACACGTTGTTAACACTAAGCAGAGCTGTGAAATATCTTGGAATATGGAAACTCATCAACTTTGAAGAAAGGTGCTCTGTATCTTCATCAATCAGTCTCTATTGGAAATTCATAAACACAAAAATGAACATTAGACCAATGCACAGATTCATGAACATAACACTAGAGGTGCCAATCTCTTAAGACCACGCAGGCTGAAACTACACAAATCCTCGATCAATACACTTAATGTTAATATTTATCATATATTTATACCCACTGTTAAAAATCTACCTATATTCAGTTTCAAGACGTGCATTAAAAATTTTTTGACAATACATTATTTCTATAGTGTCAACGAGTACCTGGCCACACCAACACACATGTTTGAATGTGAATCATTTTAATTGTGGCTTTTAATAACCATATTATTTCCATCATGTTTGTATCTCTCATATTCATTTGCGTCACCACTGGTGATAGTTGTGTTTTTTTTTAATTTTCTTTGACCTATTTTATTATTTATTCCAAGAATCATATGCACAAAGAAAATCTGATGACGAGATGGCAAACTAAATGGGATGATATAGTATATGGACGCTAGATTAAACATCTCATTTCGATTACCCAGGAGTGGTTCACTATAAAATGTGGCAAAACAGATTATTTTCGGACGCAGACTCTCTCAGGAAATGAATGTTTAAAAAAAATCTATTTGAACGCCGGAAAACAAGTGCCCATACTGCGAAAACGTGGATGATGTGGAGTATACATTTTTTTCATGCATCAGATGAAAAGGAAAGCGATAAGAATACCAAATAAATACCGAAACCATCTTTGATGCAACAAACATGATGACCTTCTTCATCTCAGGAGAAAAGGATGGCGACAAGCACATAAAACCATAAGAGACATCATAGAAACTGAAGAAACAGAGGACTGAGAGAGGAGATGGAAAAGAGATGGTACAAGAGAATAGCACAGAAAACGAGCGGCTAAGGATTCATGATGAACCTCTGAGTTTCTGACTTTAGCCCACACAACCTGGGGAAAACTAACTTCAGATCCTTTGATGAGTTGAGGTCTACAATATTATTGAAAAAGACTTCATGCATGAGCTTATCCTTCAATCCTTGTATTGCCACAGGAGTGACGTATTTTATGCAGCTTCCATGTGAGGCTTTTCCTTGACGGGTTCTAACTCGGTGACGGAGTTGTGATCCCCTCTTTGAGTATCGAAAACTAAACCGAGTTCATCAGCCGCTCGGCCAGCTGCCCTGAAGAGAAAAGCTCCAATCTTTGCTCTCTCATAGTCGCGGACCATGCGGGGAAGGGGATCTGAACTCCTGATGACTTTATAGGCTCCATCCAGTGCCATTATGTCATGTAGATACTCTAAACTCAAAAGTTTATGGCCTCCCTGTTGTCGGGGAAGTACAACCGTAGAATGGACGATTTGGGATGCAAACTTGATAGGAGATGCATCATCACTTTGTTAGGATTGTTCCAAAACTTGCATAGTCATTGTGACTACTGTTTTCTGAAGCCGGTTATGACGATATAGAAGTCATGAAGAAAAAAAAAAGATGATAATGACATCAATGAAAATAATGTGGAAAGTACCTTCTGATGCATAGGACATGCGTTCGAAATATTGTCAAATATAGGAAATAAACATGTCAGTGCCGGACAATGTTAGTGTGGGAACTCATAGTTGCAGAATCGATTGGACAATATAGTTTTTTCTTACTTATATAGGACATATAGTTTGTTATTGATGTTCATAATCATATTTTAAACCCATTNTTTCTGTTTCTTCACAATAAATATTTAATTAAGTTTCAAATGAGTTCTTTCATTATTTTTGGATGAATGAATGAATGGGTGAAACAGCAAATAAAAATCCTCTCGTAAATAGCCAAGCGAGAACTGAGTTGCGACAATATCTAGGGTCACATTAAAGTTATCTCTTTTTTTTTATTTTGGCACCCTGTGCTTCTGAAGTTGAGAATTTGAGGGCATATGTTTATATTTAGTTTTTTTCAATTATTGCAGGATTATTTAGCTCAAATATTAGCACAGTTGTATATTTGATTTATTCAAAGAATAAGTGTATGCATACCTGGAGCACTCAGTAAGCCTTCACCAATAGTTTCGGTCACGTACTTGTATGAATAGTCTTTTTCAAGGGCTTTTGGATGACTCAAAACCTTCTGTAAATGTATCGGTTCAGATAATAAATAAACCAGGTTCATTCCCATCCAAAACCTAACTATTCCAGTTCTGCTCTTTGCTTGCTGCTTAGTTATGTTGTTGATTAAATCTGCATACAAAATAAAAATTTGTCAAACTATACTTGTCACATAAGCGAATGAGTTTTGAAATGTTATGATGATAACCGATGATAATGAATGGACGAAATGCATATTGAAATATTATTGCAACACTCTTGATAGAAGTGAGAAAGAAACCTGATTCATATTATAATAATATACAGTGTCACCATTAAAGTGCGCACCATATGGGAAACTTTTTTTTCGAAAAGTTTTAATGAAGTTTAACTTCAGCACTTGTTTCTGCTTTAAATTTAAATTGAAATGATGCGGCCAACTGTGACCCACTGACGTTCAGTGTTTGTAAAATTCAACTTTTTTTTTGAAAAAAATTGAAATAGTGCTTTTCTAGATCGAATTTAACAAAAAGTTACTTGAAAAAGTTGTGTCTACGGTAATTTTATATCTATATGCCAAATTTCATGCAACTAGGATAAAGTTGACGTTTTGCTTATTTTTGACAGATATCCCCTTTATTTTAAAAAACAAGTTCGGGTAATTGTCATCAATTCATGTATACATAACCAACTCATCATGGAGTTCAACTTTTCTGATACATTTTTACTCATACGGACATTTTTAGAGAGAAATTAAAAATTTGCTATGAAAATTTCAACATGACTGGTGCAAAGTTTCAATCACTGCTATATTATCAGCGAAGCAAACGATGCTGCAGCAAGTATCGTGTCGTAATATATCATTGATATTCATTGTAAAGAGAATTGGCCCCAAAATTGTTCCTTGCGGTACTCCGTATTTCACAACCCTTTTTTCACCGACGACGTTATCGATTTTCACGTATTGCTCTCTGTCATTAAGGTAACTCTCAATGAGATCGAAAGTGTTTCCTGTGAAACCCATATTTGAGTTGTGAGTGTTTCACGGTGTCGAAGGCAATATCTGAAAAACACATAGACTTGCTTTACTTTTTTCCAGATTTTCTGCAATTTTGGGTGTGAGAAAAATAATAGCATCTTGGGGAGAAATCCCTTCTTTGAATTCATACTGGTTATTCGAGATGGAATTGTGCTTGTCAAGGTGTGATACCATTCCTTTTTTGATTATTTTTTCTAGTGTTTCAGCTATGTTTGAAATTAGTGTAATTGGTCTGTAGTTTAGAACTTCATTTTTGTTTCCTTTTTTAAAAATTGGTTTGATAATCCCTGTTTAAAATTCTTTGGGAAATTTTCCCGTTTCTGTTATTCTATTGAAAATGTTGTTCAGAGGATAAGATGTCTCCGTTTTCATCTCTTTCAAGGTTTCAGCTCTATTTGCTCGTTACCAGGAGTTTTGTTTATTTTAAGAGATCATATTGTTCCACTAATCTCTCCTTCTGTTGTAGGTTCAA